CTTATACTCACTCATTTAGTTGCCGTTTATGGTGTTCCTCATTTCTTTGTGTAGATTCGGTTTTCCATTGGGTATGACATTCCTTCTGCTTGATGGACACCTTAGACACTCCTGCAGGTGATTCTTTTACTTTGCTGTATCTGAAAACAGCTTTGTTCTTTCCCAACCTCTGTCTCCTCTCCTTTGGGGACTCCAATTATACCTGTATTTCACCACTTGAAGGTGAACCACAGTTCACTGATGCTCTTTCCATTTTTCTAGTCATTTTTCTCCATTTCATTTGGACAGTTTGTATTGCCATGTTTTCAAGTTCACTGATCCTTTTTTTTGCGAGAGTCTAGCTCTGTTGCCAGGCTGGAGTGCAGTGGCGCGATCTTGGCTCACTGCAACCTCTGCCTCTCGGAGGCGATTCTCCTGCCTCAGCCTCCCCAGTAGCTGGGAATACAGGAATGCGCTGCCACGCCCACCTAAGTTTTGTATTTTTAGTAGAGATGGGTTTCACCATGTTGGCCAGGTTGGTCTTGAACTCCTGACCTCAGGTGATCCACGTGCCTTGGTCTCCCAAAGTGCTGGGATTATAGGCGTGAGCCATGTCGCCCGTCCACACTGATCCTTTTTTTTTTGCAGTGTTCCATTAATCCCATCTCATGTATTATCTCTCTCAGACACTATTTTTCATCCCCAGAAGTTCGATTTGAGGCTTCCCCCCCATCTTTACTTAACATATTGTCTTTCCTTTCCTCCAGCATCTTCAACATATGGAATATGATCACAGCATAAGTGTGTGTGTGCTGTCCTCTACTTGCCCTGTCACCTTTGTCATTTCCAGGTCAGTTACTGCAACCTCTGCCTCCCGGATTCAAGCAATTCTCCTGCCTCAGCCCCCTAACTAGGGCTACAGGTTACCTGCCACCATGCCCGGCTAGTTTTTATATTTTTAGTAGAGATGGGGTTTCACCATGTTGTCCAGGCTGTTTGTGAACTTCTCATCTGAAGTGATTCGCCCTCCTCGGCGTCCCAGAGTGATGGGATTATAGGCGTGAGCCACTGTGCCCGGCCCCAGGTCAATTTTGATTGATTTTTCCTATCTCTCCATACGGGTCATAATGTCCTGCCTCTTTTCATGCCTGGGTTTTTTTTTTTTTTTTTTTTTTTTTTTTTTTTTTACTGGATATTCAACATTTTGTATTCTACCTTGTTTGGCTCTGGATATTTTTGTGGACCTACACATACATTTGCATTCGTTTCTGTGATGTGATTAAGTTACTTGGAAACTGTATGGTCCTTTTTTTTTTTTTTTGAGGCAGGGTCTCTGTCGCACGGACTGGAGTGCAGTGGTGTGATCTTGGCTCACTGCAGTCTCGGCCCCCTGGGCTCGTGATTCTCCCACCTCAGCCTCCCCAGTAGCTGGGGCCACAGGCACACACCACCACATTTGGCAACTTTTTGGATTTTTGTAGAGATGGGGTTTCACCATGTTGCCTAAGGTAGTCTCGAACTCCTGGGCTCAACTGGTCTGCCTGCCTTGGCTTCCCAAAGTTCTGGGATTACAGGTGTGAGCCCCCACATCTGACTCTGGGTCTTGTTATTGAGTGGTGTTTGTTGGGACCTGAACTGTATTTAGTCTCATGTTGATGCTTCCCTACTACAAGGTGAGAACTTCTTCCTGCTCTAACGATGCTTCCCTGCTCTGGCTGCCGGACACAGGGACCATCCCCAGCCTTGCGTGGGCTCTGATCCTGTGAACTCCAGCCCCCTGCCTGGCCACCTCTATCTTCCCACTTGAGGGAGACGCAGGTGGCTGCCTGGGTTCCCTTTCTCTACACCGTGCCCGGGGGTGGGCGGGACAGTCCTCGCTGCTGGGTCGGTTCCCCTCTCTCCAGCACCACGGTCCTCGGTTTCGTGAGCCCAGTGCCTTGAGTGCTGCTTTTACATCTATTTGTCTGTTTTTTTGGTTGCTGCAGCTTAGAGTGTGTAAGTCCAACCCCTGTTACTTCATCTCCATTCTCAGCCAAGCCCCCTCCACCCGCCTGTCCCCGTCAGTCCCTATACCTGCTGTCCCTGAGATGCCGCCTCTGTGAGGCCTGACGGGCTCTCCCCCAGTCCCGCCTCTCCTGCCCCGGGGCAGGTGCTGTCGCGGCCAGCGAGGATCCGTGCGAGCGAACCTGCGCGCGAGGAGCTCACCGGGGCTGGGCAGGTGGCTACAAGAGCCTGTCTCCCTGCGGTCACCCCATAGGGTTGGCTGAGGATGGGGCCCAAGACCGTGAGGGTGGCTGACCGCCCGGAGTTTCAGTTTTAAGGGGCAGGACGTGCTTGCGCCGGCCCCTGGGCTCCGCGCTCCGCGCCGCCTGACCCGAAGGGGCGTGGGAGCCAGCAGTGCCCAGTCCCTGTTCCGGAGGTGGGCGAGGGGCGGGGGGCTTCCGGGGGACGGGACCTGGGCTGGGACGTGGTGGGCGGAGCGAGGAGAGGAGGGAAAACGCCTCGGGAGCTGCAGCACAGCCGCCACCGCCAGAGGGCAGCGGGGGCCCGCACGGAAGGTCCCCGGCCCCGCCCCGCCCACCCCGGCCCCGCCTCCGCCCTCCCCGGCCCCGCCTCCGCCCTCCCCGGCCCCCCTTCTCCTCCCAGCCAGGCCCCGCCCATCCCATCCCGGCCCCGCCCCCGTCCGCCTCGGGCCCCGCCCAGCCCCGTCTGCCGCTCCGCCCCTGGTCCCGCCCAGACGTCTCGGCCCCGCCCACCAGGGGGCTGCGCCGCTGCCCATGCCCCTCCCACTGCCCGCCTCATTCGGGCGCCGGCACCTGCCGGCCTGTCTGTTGCCTGCTTCTACTCTGCACACTCGCAGTCACCTTTCCGCACACCTGTCCCCTTTCCACGCACCTGTGCCCGGCAGCCCGCACACCTGTGGGAACGCTGCCTCCTCGCCAGCCGTCCGGGGAGTTCAGCGCTGCTCTCCCACGGGCGTGGGACCGCCCCACCCACCTGTCCGTGTCCGCAGAGCCGGCCGGGAAGGCGGCAGGTGGGCCCCGGCGCTGCTGGCTCCTTGTGGGACAGTGCCGCGGCGGGGGCGCAGGACGTTCTCCTGCCGGGAGGACCACGCAGCGGTCCCCGGACCCTTTCCCCGGGTGCAGAGCGGCGGCTGTGCCAGCAGGGGCAGGACGGGCGGGCCGAGCGCACCTCCATCCGCCCTCGTGACGCCCACGTTGGCCCAGACACGGGATTTGGGGTGGAGGACGCTGGTCTGGGAACCAGCGGGGTGGAATGGCCGGGTAGTTCGGGCCTTGAGGAGTCCCAGACCCTGAAACTGGCACCCCCCTCGCCCCGCCCAGCTCTCCTCGGCCTGGGGACACCGGCTGCCAGGCCTCTCCAGTTTCAGCCTTTCCTGGGAGGGCTTCCTGGAAGAGGCGGCTTCTGGCCCCAGAAAGAGAGGCTGCTCCGGGGGATAGATGCGGTGCTGGGGTGGTGACTCCGCGGAGTCGAGGGTGTGACGCGGGATGTGGGCAGGCCGTGGGGTTTGTGTTCCAGGACTGGGAGACAAGACGAGGGGAGGCCATGGGGCGGTTGGAGGTGCGGCCTGGGAACCCGGCGTGCTGGACTCTGAGCAGGGACGGCAGGCGAGGCGCGTGGAGGAAGAACCGCGAAGAGCTGGGCGCTGCCTTCTCCGCGCCTCCGTTTCTTCATCTGCTCCTGGGGCCGCCTGCCCAGTAGCGGGGATTAAATCGGATGTTGACGTCTATTATGATGATTAATGTTCTTGTCATTCCCGTCACTAGCAGGTGAGAGGCGGGGAGGCCTCGGGTGGGAACATACCTATGGCCAAGGGAACGAGGTAACCCAAGCGCCCCGGAAAGGACCCCTGCCTGCATCGCCACGGCCGTCCCCGCCTACCCCGTCCACATCAGCTCCGGCTAGGCGAGGCCCTGCTTCTCCCTTCTGCTCCCGAAGACCACCCCGGGGCGCAGACCTGGAGGCCTCGGAGCGCCCGCGGCCGTCCCGTCCGCCCCATTCTGAGCAACCAGAGAGCGGTCTAGGCCGGGCACGGGGCTGCGCAGAGGGGCTGCGGGCAGGGCCGGAGCCTGCTCTGGGGGTCGCGAAGGTGTCCCGAGAGTTGGGGACCCGACCGGGCGAGCGCGGGCGCAGGTGTGGTGAGGACGCGGCGGCCCTCGGCCGCTCCTGGGAGCTTGCGGGGACCAAGGGCGCGCGGGCGGGGCCGGGGGCGCGGCGAGTCTCGGGCGGGGGCGGGGCCGGGGCGGGGGCGGGGCCGGACCCGGGGAAGCCGCCCGCCCGCCGGCGGGGACGTCCGCACCGCGAGGGTTAAGGCCCGGAGCCCGGCGGGGCCGGGGCGGCGTGCGCGCGCGGATTGGGGAAAAGTTTGGCGGCGGGGCGGGGCACGGGGCGGGCCGGCGCGCGCGGATTGGCCGGAAGTTGTGCCGGGGGCGGGCCGGGGTCCGGGCTCGGCGCTCGCTCCGGGAGAGTTGACAAAGCCCCGCAGGGAAGGACGCCTCGCGGCGCAGCGCCCCGGGCCCCTCGCCCCGCCGCCCCGGGACTCCGGCCCAAGCCCCCGGCCCTGCGGACTCGTCCCCGCCGCCTGCCTGGTCTGGGACCCCGCGCCCTGAGCGCCCGAGCCCGGACTCCGACCCGGCCCGAGCCTCCCGCGCCCAGGTAGCGCCGCCCCGCCCCGAGGCCGGGCCCGGGGGCGCGGGGCGGCGGGATGCGGCGCCCGGGGCGGCGATGACCGCGGAGCGCACGCCGCGGGCCTGGCCCTGACCCCGCCGCCCGCCCGCACGCCGAGCCCCCGCCGAGGTGAGATCCCGGCGCACGGCCGCGACCCCAGGTGGGCAGACGGGGGAGGGCGGGGGTCCGGGGCGGGGGCGGGGAGGGGAGGGTTCGGAGCCCCAGCTGGGCACTGGTCACGCGCGCCGCTGCCGCTCCTGCGGGCCCCCGGCCTGTCCCGTCCCCGCCCCCGCGCCCCACGTGGGCCCCCCCAGCGCAAATTTGTCCGCTAATGGCGCAGGCGATTATCTGCGGGGCGCTGGGTGTTGTGTGTCCTGCGGGCAGGGCCGGAGTTACAAGCGCCAGGAATCCAGACGGTGTGTGGAGGGGGGGCAGCGGGGGAGCCCGGTAATTAGTGTAAACCCTTTGTCTGCCTTTGATACCCACAGCTTCTCCCCGCCGCGGCTTCCTCCGCCTGGAGCGCGGGCGGGGAGGGCCTGTCGGGGAAGTGGGGCCAGACCCCTGATCCCCGCGGCCCAGGACCGGGGAGGGCGGTGTCTCCCACTTCCACGCTTTGGTGACGACGCCCCCAATGCCCCCAGGTCCGGACAGACCGAGATGACGCCGAGTCCCGCGTTGCTGCTCCTGCTGCCGCCGCTGCTGCTGGGGGCCCTCCCGCCGGCCGCCGCCGCCCGAGGTGAGTTCTGGCGCCCAGCCCAGCCAGCCTGGCCTCCGCCAGCGCCGCCCCCTTCCCGCCCGGCCCTGAACCCTGCCACAGTGCCCGCCTGGCACGCGCCATGCCCCGCCCCTGCCGCCCCGCTCGCCAGGCCCCCTTCCTTCCAGGGTCCCCTCACCCATGGGCTGTCCACAGCGCCCAGGCGGCCTCCCCCAGCTGGCCAGAGGAGTCCCTTTCACTTGTGCTTGCTGGCCAGGTGGGCTCTAGCCCTGGCCCCCAGGACATGCTTCTGGTCTTGCAAACACTTTCACCCTCCTACCTGCAGTCCAGGGCAGCTGATCACCTGTGGATTCTTGGGGAGTGGGCGGTTTGTGGCCACAGTGGACCCAACTAGGACTCTGGGAACCTGCAGAGACCCCCATGGAGGCCAGGATGGGCTATGAGAGATATTGGTGATATACTGGGTGTCTGGGACTGAAACTGACCCTCAGACCCCCAGTGTCCCAGCCACTGGGCACACACCAGACCTAGCTGTGTGCCCTGGGCCTGCCCAGCCCCAGGCAGGCAGTGCAGGGCGGCTGTGTGGACAAGTCCCCAGAGCCGGGACGCACCCCAGGACTGTGTGCCTGTGGGCACCCGCTGTACCGGCCTGGTACGTCCTCACGCCACTGATAGCTAAGTGGCAGCCATGCCACGGGACCCGGCTCCAGCAAGGGCATCCGGAGCCGATGGGTGATGTGACCCCGCAGACTCATGCCCGCCATGTTCCAGGATCCGGGCACAGCGCTGGCTGCCCCCATGGCTAGGCGGGACCTGTGGCCAGGCCGGCCCTTTGGGTGTGTTGACCACTCAGGATTGTCCGCGCTGTGTCCACCAGTCCTGAGGCTTCGCACCCCTCCCCTGCCGCCCAGCAAGTGCGCCGCATCCAACCTGGCCTTATATGGGCACGTTCGGGTGTTGGATGGCGGGCGGCGGCCAGGTGGGCCTTATGCCACAGCACCCCCCCACCCCCCTCCTGCCCACATGGGCCTGGCTGAGCGGCTGCTCTGAGGGCCCGGCAGCGTCCTGGGCTGTGTGGGCACTCAGGCCATACTGGGCGAGCCCCCACCACCGCCAGTGGCCTGGGCTTGCATTCTCTTTGATCTGTTTGGCCTCCCCCATCCCTGCACCTGCCTGTCCTCTGTCCACTCGGCCAGGGAGGCTCTGGAGGCCTCTGTCCTGCCATGGTCGGTGGCTGGGGCTGAAGCTGACTGGTGGATGGCCACGGTCACCCATGGCAGTGGGTGGCAGAGCCCGCCTCTTCGTGGAGACGCCCCAGCGGCCACCCCCTTCGCTTTCGTCCTCCTCAGCTGCGGCCTTGGGGCCGAGGATATCCAGCCCTGGCTTTGCGTGGCAAAGGCCCTGGCGGCACTGTGGAGCTGAGATTGAGTGGCTTTCCAAGGGCAGGGGCCTCTGTGGTTTGGGTGGAGGTGGGGAGGAGGTTCTTCCGGACTGTGCTGATTTTCCTAGCATGGACTAGGGCGCCAGGTCCATCCAAGTGTGTTTCTCCTGCTCTGAACAGCCCACTGTGCACCTTCATTAGGCCAAGGACCAGCATGCAGAGGGTTTGGGTTGTTTTTGAAAAGCCATTTCCCGCTAGGTCATAAGTTCTGGAATCGGCACATCGCTAGACTCGGATCATATTTTTAAAGTTCCTCTTTTCCCAAAGTTTCACAATCTTGGTGGATTTGTCTAAAAACTGTTTTTTTTTTTTTTTTTCCAATTTGAAAAAAGATAGGAATTGGCTTTCTCCCTTTCCCTTTTATTTCTCACAGTGGGAACTTGAGAGTTTGTGGATGAAATACCTTTTACGAATAATTCTGAAGGAAGTCGTTTCAGGGCTTTCTGAGAAGTGCCACCTTTGAACTTTTGCAAGCATGGCCTTGGGGACCAGCTCTGAGCGGCCTGCCTAGGAGGCCACTCCCCTCTCCTCTGCACCCGGCCAGCTGCTGTGGGCAAGCTGAGCCCTGACCCAGGTGGGCAGGGTGCCTGTCCAGGGGTGCCCCATGCCTGGGGGGTGGCGTTGGTCAGGGTTGGCTCCCTGTGAGGGCAGGAGTCTGAAGGGTGTGTGACTCGGGGAAGCAATAGCCGTGGGTGCATGGTGCTGACCTCGGCCCCCAGCCAGGCCTCAGGGCCCTCCTCCCTCGCCCCAAGCCCTTCCAGGCAGTGGCTGGCCAGTGTGTAGCGGGCTGAGGTGGACGTGTGGGAGCTGGGCCCAGCCCCTGCAAGGTGGGGAATCGGGCCAGCCGCCCCGTTTCCATCTCGGGGCCCCACTCCTGGAAGGGAAAATAAATCACTGTCCCCTTGGGGGAGGGAGGGAGCAGTGAACAAAGTCGCCTTTGGCTGGGCCTGGAAACGCCGACCGCAGACTCCTTTATCCATTGTGCGGGAATCAATGGGCCTCCGGGCTCCCTTTCAGCCGCAGGCCCCGCGCTGCGGCCCTGTCGAGGGGAAATGTTGGTTTTTCCCCAGCCGTGGCCTCCAGCCCCTGGCTTGCCCAGCCCTGGCTCAGGAACCATGGCCGCGCTGGGAGAGGCGGGCTGTGCCCACAGGCTGGACCCCCGACTGCTGCATGCTGGCCCTCTCTGCAGCCTGAGCTTGCTTCTTGGCCCAGGGTGGACTCCTTTGCCCCATCTGGGCCTCTGCCGGTGACTCCAGGCCTGGTGTATCCAGGTGACAGCCTCAGCGGGTGGGTCAGCACAGGAGGGAGAGGTGTGCCCACACCCCTTTCCCCAGAGGCCTCCTCTAGGGCTGCCCTCCCTGCCTGCCTGCCTGCCACTCTCCCTGGCAGCCATCCCTGGAGCTGCTGGTTAAGCCCCAGGGTGTCTGGCTGCCCTCTGCAGGCGGCTCCAAGGTGGGCCACAGCGCCAGGGCCCACGGTCCAAGATGGCTGGGGTAGAGTGAAGCAGGGGATGGGAGAGGAGGGGTTTCATGGGCCAGGGCAGGCCTAACAGGAGAGGTGGGTACCAGTCCCCTTGGAGCAAGTCAGTGTGAGTGGGGGTCTCCCTCTAGGACATTGTCCCTGTGTGGGGCAGGGGGTGCCGCCCATCTTGGCAGAAAGCCCAACCACTTTTCTTCTTGCCTGGTGCTGTGAAGGGGCTGAGGAGTGAACATTGGCTGAGCAGTGACAGGGAGGAGGGAGCCGGGCTGCTGCCCTGGTGTGCGGCATGGGGCCCGCTGGGCACAGTGACACCCTCTGGGCTACTAAGACTGTGAGCCCCAGGAGCACGGGGTCCCTGGGGAGCTTTGTCCAGGCCCACCAGCCAGTGGCTTTGGGCCCCTCCTCATTCCCTGTAACCTTCCTGCCCTGTCCCCAGTGGTGACCGTAGGGCTTGGTCTGGAGCACAGTACCACACCCCAGGGCATCACTGTGTGTCCCAGAGAGGCTGGGTGGCTGTGCCCTGTGGCCTGCAGGGGCCTGGGGAGCTGCAGTGGACAGGCCCAGTGCCCTCCTGTCCCCAGCCCTGTCCTTGAGAAGTCTGCCATGTGAGTGGGAGCAAGGGCCCCTGGCCTGGTGGTGGTGCCCAGTGTGCCTGGGCTGCTCAGTGGTCACGGCAGCCCCACCAGGGGGCCAAGAGCCCTGGCAGGGGGCAGAGCATCAGCTCACCCCTGATCTCTGGCCTCGGGGGTTCTGGGATCAGGAAATGTTCTTGTTGATGCTTCTTAAGTGGGGAAGGGCTGCCAAGGTCTTCAGGCAGAGCCCCTCTGGGGAGTTCCGGGCAGGGGAGGCCTGGGGACTGCAGCCAGGCAGGCTGGGGTTTTGAGGTGGGGGTGGGGGCATGAACCGGGCCGGGCCTGGTGAGGTCTGGACTGGGATGGCTACGGAGGAATCTTTGCCTGTTTCAGCACTGTGCAAGGTTCTCTTCAGGGCGTGGCACCGCCTCACAATGCTCTGGTGCCCGCCCTGTGCCCTGGCGTGTCAAGAAGGGGGAATAGTGCCCTGGGGCTGGGGTTGCAGAAGGTTCCACCTCAAGGCTTCCAGAGGAGGCCTCCCAGCCTGCTGACTCGCTGGGTGCCCAGGGCTGGGCAGCGTGGTGGGGCACAGCTTGTGGGGTAGCCGCCTGTGCTGCAGGCCCCCAGGTCCCCGCACATCCTCTGGGTCTGCTCCCTGAGGGCCGCCTGGCTAGCTGGTACTGTGTGTGTCCTGGGTCTGTGCATGCGGGTGCACATGCGTGTGCCTGGGCGTCCCAGGCTGGAGGAGAGCCTGGCCCTGGCACCTGATGGGCAGCAGGCTGTGTAGCGGTCACCTGTGCTGTGGCTCCTGGGGGCGGCCGCTCTTGCATTTGGCTTCCTGGGGAGGGGATCGGGCCCTGGCACTAACTCTGGAGTTTCCCACTCACTCCTGCCCTGGGTGCCCCTGGGGGCCTGGCACAGCCACATAGTGGCCATCTGTGGTGGAGGCACTGTGTCTCCTCTTGGTGACCGGTGGGGGGCTGCCGGCTGCAGAAGGCTCAGCACCTGGATTGGCTCTGCACCCCCTCAGGGGTCTGGCACAGTGTGTCCTGATTCCCTTACCCTCCCTTCTGGTCAAGGTGAGCCCCCTTCCCCAGGCCACTCAGCTTCTCCAGGAGGACATGGGGCCTGGCCACCTGCACCCCATGGCCAGGTCCCTGACCAGGCCAGAGAATTCCTCCAGCTGGAAACTCGGGGCCATGCAGGGCCCCCCAGTTCCCAGGCATCCTCGCTCCACTCTGGCCCCGTTTGGCTGCCAGGCCACTCTTGGTCCAGCCCCTCCATGCGGGGAACTTAGGGTTGGCCGGTCAGGGCTAGGGTTGAGGGGACCACACAGCCGGCCCCTCAGCGGTCAGCTCCACCTGCCCCTCCCTCCCTGGCACACCGTGGCTTGGTCTGTCCCCACGGACGCCACACCCTGCCATGTTGTCAGCCAGCATCTGCCCCTGCTGCGGTGGACGCTCCTTCCTCAGGAAGCCCCCGTTGTCCCCACTGGGTCAGGAGTCCTGTCCGACCGGGGCCAGCATTGCCCCGGGCTCTGTAGAGGGGCGGACACCACTGGCTTGGGCTATAGAGGCATCCTGGGAGGTGCAGGTACACTGGAAAGTAAGAGGAGGCCGTTTCCTGGTCCCAGCTCATGTCTGCTCGTGACAGAGGGATCATAACACTGCACGTGTGTCTGTGCCTGGGCGCCTCTCCTTACGCTGAGGGCTGTGTTCTGGGGAGCACCCCCTCCTTGCTCCCTGTGGGAGCCAGGCCCCATGGGGAGGAGCTGCCGTGGCCTCAGGAGGGAAGCTGGGCAGCCCTGGCCATGAATCCTCTGTACCTGCCCTGGCTGGCCACCACCCCCCTGCCATTCTCCCTACAAATGCCCACCGAGTGTCTGCTGTATGCCAGGCCTCGGGACACCGCGAGCACGGGAGAGGGGCTTGGGTGTGGGTTTGGACCATGTGGCCAGGACGGGCCATTCCAGAAGAGATACTGGAGACCCCGAGGAGCTGCGGGGTGAGGGGCGTCGGAGAGGGCACTCCAGATGAGGCAGGTGTGGGGAGCTGATCTGAGGGCCTGTGAAGACGGGGAGGGGCAGGCCGCAGGGGGTCCTGCCTCTGTCCCTCCAGACTGCAGCTTCCTCCCCTCCATCCCAGGGCCTGCCCACCTCCACCCTTCCTGGGCCCTGGGAAAGAGGAGTCTCTGTGTCTGGGGATAGTGTGTGTGTGACAAAGCGTGTGGGCAGGGCGGCCTCTCTGGGCCTTGCTGCTGTGGGAAGCCCCTGTTCCTCCTCCTTCCCCAGTTGTGTTTTTTACAGCTGGGCAGGGGTGGCGGGGTGGGAGGGGTTGGTGGCATCCCCCTTCTTGGCCCACCGCCTCCGAGTCTAGTCCTCTATACCTGACAGCAGTGAGGCCCTGTCTCAGACTCAGTTTACCCTCATGTCTGGCTCCCACGTGGCCCTTGGTGTCCTGCCTGTGCTGGGGGTCTCTTGACTGTGGCTAAGTGTGTGCAGGGCAGGGGCTGTTCTGGAGGAGGAGGCTGGGGGGCATCTTGGCGGGGTGCAAACCCTGGAGGTGGCACGGCGCCAATGTCATGCCCAGCAGAGCCCCGGTGCTGGCTCCCTGTATTTCTTCCTGGCTGCGGTGCGAGGCGGCCAGTCTCCCCACCAGGTACCTGTGCCCTCAGGTCCTACCTCAGTTTCCCCATAGGCTGCGTGGGTTGGACGCCCGTCCAGGTGGTGTGGGCTTGCCTAAACATAAAGCCCAGGCCGCTGTCCTGGCACGCTCATTTCCCAGGAATCTGGGGGGCTGGGCTTCCTCCTGGTCAGGCCCTCCTGCGGGGGTCTTGGGCCTGCAACAGCAGGGTGTCCAGGGAGCCCAGGTGGGGGTGGGATGGGCCTGGTGAGGGGGACGGAGGGAGGCTGTTTGCTTTAGGATAAGGCTGGCTCCTCTGGACTGGCTGCCTCCAGCCGTGCCTACAGCACTTGCAGGCCGGCCTCGGGGGCCACGCTTCCGGCCAGCCGGCAGTCATTTGTCTCTGCCCCCTTTCTCAGCAGTGACCATGGGCGGGGGTCCCGCCTCCCTGTCTGTGCCTGTCATCCCGCACCTCCCGCATGCCTGTGGGGGTCTTTACCTCCCCAAGCCTTGCTTGTGTCTGCCTGGGGCAGGGTGGGGGCTGGGGCCAGAGGTAGCCCCTTCCCAAAGTGCAGCTGGGGCTTTCAGCCTCTGAGGGGGGCTCCCTCCCGAGATGGGGGGGCTGGGTCCGTGTGCCCCCACCCAGGACAGGGCCGGGCACTTGCTCTCTTGCTCCTTCTGGGCAGTTGTGTGGGTGGGCACTCATGTGCATACATGAACATGCTTGCACGTGTGAGACCTGCGCCCAGGTAGCCCCTCAGGAGGCCCAGGTACCCCTGCAGGCTGTGGGCCACAGGAGCTGGGCTGGGCAGGGGCCTTGGCCACTCCCTCTTGATCCCGGAGGCCCTGTGGGTGGTGGGAGTTCGGGCAGCGACAGGTGCTGGTGGGGTCAACCTGGGGTGGGTCTGGGACCTGGGCAGGCTGGGAAGGGGTCAGGAGTTCCCTGTACTGTGGGCCCTGCAGCCCCTTCCTCCCCGGGACACATTTGCCAGAGCTGCCCCCAGCCCTGGGCAGCTTACAGAACCACACTGAGGGGGAGGTGGGCTGGCAGCCCCCACAGCCGCCATCTCATTTCCTCTCTGGGGGGTTACAGGGAGGGTAGGGAAGGAGGGGCTTCAGGGCTGGGGCCCATGGCCAGGGTGGGAGGGTCCTGAGTTGAGGGAGAGATACAGGTCAGAGGAGAGACCCCCACATGTTTTCTCAGAGAGGCCAGGGACTGCTGTGGGCCGGGTGGGCCTGGGCTGGGAAGAATCCCTCCCTCCAGAGCCTCAGCCCACCCTTTGTGTTTCTGGTCACAGTGGGGAGGCTCCATGTCTCCACGCCCAGCCCCAGCGGCCGATGATGCCTGTGGGATCAGAACCCGGAGGCCCTGGGCCATGCCCCCTGTGCTATCAGCGCTGATTAGGCCTCCAGAGAGGTGATAGGGATTCTCTGTGGGGGTCCCTGTCCCCAGACCTGGGGGGTGAGATTGGGAGCTGCTACCTGAGTGTCTGAAGACGCCGGTGGGAGACGTCACGGGGCCACTGTTAATTGCGTATTGGAGAAACACGCGGCCCCAGGCACTGTCGAGATGGCTTGGAGCAGCTGCTGCCTCTTGGTGTCTCTGCACCCAGCCTGGACACTCCCAGACAGCAGTGGCTGCAGTTCGGGAGGGACACTGTCACCCATGGGCTGGCCAGAGGTGCCCTGGGAACCGTGGGGTGCCTGTGGCCACCTCTCAGATGCAGAGAGCAGTGAGTGGGCTGCAGTTGCTGCTGCAGGACTTGGGAGCAGCACGTGGGGAGTGGGGCGTGCGGGGCCCTCCTCTCCCAGGAGCTCCATCCAGGCGCAGGCCCTGCGGTGCTCTGAGTTTCTGAGGCCTGCAGGGTCTGTGTGTTCCAGGCTCATCTTCCCGGCTGGCTAGGCACTGCCCACTGGGGCCGGTCACACACAAACAGGGCCCTGGCCCTGCCTTCCAGCTCAGAAGCACCCAGGCAGGGGACGGGGTGGGGTGGGGACCCGGGCAGGGGACGGGGTGGGTTTCTTTCTGCCAGGAAAGGAGGACTTGGCTTCTCCACGTGGGGTGGGACAGAGTGAGTGGCCATGTGGAGCTGCAGCCTGTCTGCTTCTGTGGGTTTCACAGGCAGTGGGGGGACATACCGGCTGCCAGGTACAGCCTCGGGGCTGCCAGCCAGACAGGATCCAGCAGTGCCCATGGCCAGCCCCAGCTACTGTCGCTCCAGAGGCTTGCCCTCTGACCCTGGGGCCTTGGGGTCATGCCCCCTCAAGGCTAAGGTGCCTGGCAGGGTAGGGCCCTTGGGGTGGGCAGACAGACCTGGGCATCTGTGGTCCCTGAACTCAGGTCTGATACTGACAGAGACGTGGGTGCTGCACAAACTCTCATCCACACAGTGCCCGTGCGCAGGCGGTCTGCTGTGCCTGATTGCGTGTGGATAGCTGTGGGGTCGCTGGCCTGTGTCCAGGCCCGGCTGGGCCCTGGGCTGCTGGTTGGGTGGGAGTTGGGTGAGGGGCCTGGAGCCTCTTTGGGACCCACCAGGGCCCCCATCCCCCTGCCGCCCTTGTCCTTGGGGGGCTGCTGTCCCCTCTGACCTAGGGTATACAGCTGCTTCCTATGTGACCAGGAGGAGCCCCTGCCCTCTTGGCTGGTGGGTTTTGAGGGCTACCAAGCATAGCTGTTTTGCATCCTCTGGGGACCCTACTCCCCTCTCACGTCTCAAAGAGCCGGCCTCTGGGACCACAGAGCCGCCCCGGCCGTGAGAGGCTGCTGACGTGGTGTTCAGTGGGCCAGTACTCAGGGGCTTTGGTGCATGTAGGCAGCTGAGGCCTGGGTCGGGGGCACTGTGCCTGGGCCCCTCTACTCACCTTGGGCAGGCGACCCAGGTGGAGCTCAGGCCTGAGGTCTGTGCTGGGCCATGGGTCCCCTTTCGATCCCCCTTGGCTCTGGACCCCAAGCCCCTCCTCGTTGACTGTTCCTTGGACCCACCCGCAGGCCCTCCCAGGATGGCGGACAAGGTGGTCCCACGGCAGGTGACCCGGCTGGGCCGCACCGTGCGGCTGCAGTGCCCTGTGGAGGGGGATCCACCACCATTGACCATGTGGACCAAGGACGGCCGCACCATCCACAGCGGCTGGAGCCGCTTCCGCGTGCTCCCCCAGGGGCTGAAGGTGAAGCAGGTGGAGCGGGAGGATGCCGGCGTGTACGTGTGCAAGGCCACCAACGGCTTTGGCAGCCTGAGCGTCAACTACACCCTTGTCGTGCTGGGTTAGTCGCTGCTGCGGTCAGAGGTCATGGGCTGGGTTGGAGCCAGGCAGGGGCATGCAGGAGGGCGGACAGGGACACACCTGGGGCCTGAGAGTCAGCCAGCCCCGGGCAGAAAGCCTTCCTTCGGCGCCCTGCCCTCCCTCTGCTGACTGCACCTCTGCCACCATCCCCCAGGCTGGGCTCCTGTCCCCATCAGGCTCCAGCCTCTGGGCCTTCCTCCGGGCGGAGGGCGGCGGGCAGCGGGCGGAGGGCAGCGGCCGGGAGCCGCAGGCCATGGTCCCACAGAAGGGCTGGGGCCCGAGGCCTTGGCAGGGTGTGCCGGCCGTCGGCTGTGACTTTGAGGCTCAGGTTTCGGAGTTCAGAGGAGCCGCGGGGATGCCTGGCCTTTCTGTTCTCTTCTGCGCCTGGGGCCTGGGTGCGGGGCTTGGACAGGTGTCCAGAGACACACCCTCCATACCTAGGGACCAGGCACCCCGCCTGCTCTGCTGGGCTCCTGGGTGTGGGGCCCTCCGGTGGAGCTCCTGGAGCTGGGCTGGCCCGTTTCTGAACGCAGGAGGCTGGCCCAGGCCCCGGCAGGGTCTGGGGGTGCGGCCTGAGACAGCCTGGTCCTGGGCTCAGTGGAGGAGCGGCTGTCACAGGGTGGATGGAGGGGACATTCCACAGCACGCCCTGCCCCTCCAGATTGTGTGGAATGGGAAAACTGTGGCTGTCCCCCCACCCCCACCCCACAGTCCTTTCAAAGGCAACGATGACCGAGAGGTATGAGAGTCTCGTCTGTTCACCAGCCCTTGGCCCCTTGATGTAGGCTAGGGTTACCGCAGCTGCTGGCCGGGCCCGGCTCCCTCCTCCCCAGGGCCTGCAGACCCCCCGGAGCCAGAGTGGGGGCCAGCCCTCCAGCCCCACCCATACCCGTCAGGATCACCTGCGCCTAGTGTGGGCCAGCGGCCCTTGCCCAGCTGTCCCTGGGATTCTGGGCTGTGGGTGTGTAGTGCAGCCCCCTGCCTGGGTGTCCAGGACTGTCCTGGCTGGGGCTGGGGGCACTAGAGGCCATGGGAGAGTTGGGGGTGCTCCTCAGGGCCCCCCTCACCTGCCCTCCCTGTGCACCTCCGTTTCTCTGCAGATGACATTAGCCCAGGGAAGGAGAGCCTGGGCCCCGACAGCTCCTCTGGGGGTCAAGAGGACCCCGCCAGCCAGCAGTGGGGTGAGCAGGGGACTGCCATCTGCCAGGGTGGGGGGTGTCTGTCCTGGCCCCTCGGCCGCTTCCCCATCCTCTGACCTCCATGCCGCCCCACCCCACAGCGCGACCACGCTTCACACAGCCCTCCAAGATGAGGCGCCGGGTGATTGCACGGCCTGTGGGCAGCTCCGTGCGGCTCAAGTGCGTGGCCAGTGGGCACCCTCGGCCCGACATCACGTGGATGAAGGACGACCAGGCCTTGACGCGCCCAGAGGCCGCCGAGCCCAGGAAGAAGAAGTGGACGCTGAGCCTGAAGAACCTGCGGCCGGAGGACAGCGGCAAATACACCTGCCGTGTGTCGAACCGCGCGGGTGCCATCAACGCCACCTACAAGGTGGATGTGATCCGTGAGTGTGGCCTGGGGCGCTGGCGGGCCGGGGGTGCTGGTGGGGTTTGGGGGCTGGTGGTCTAGGGGCTGGTGGACCGGGGGTGCTGGTGGGGTCTGGGGACTGGAGATCTGGGAGCTGGTGGACCAGGGATGCTGGTGGGGTCTGGGGGCTGGTGGGCTGGGGGTGCTGGTGGGGTCTGGGGGCTAGTGATCTGGGGGCTGGTGGGCAGGGGGTGCTGGTGGGGTCTGGGGGCGCTGGTGGGGTCTGGGGGCTGGTGGGCTGGGGGTGCTGGTGGGCCCTGGGGTGCTAGCAGGTAGAGTCTGGCGGGGCCCAGGAACCATGCCCACGTGCCGTGTTCCCACAGAGCGGACCCGCTCCAAGCCCGTGCTCACAGGCACGCACCCCGTGAATACGACGGTGGACTTCGGGGGGACTACGTCCTTCCAGTGCAAGGTGCGCAGCGACGTGAAGCCGGTGATCCAGTGGCTGAAGCGTGTGGAGTACGGCGCCGAGGGCCGCCACAACTCCACCATCGATGTGGGTGGCCAGAAGTTCGTGGTGCTGCCCACAGGCGACGTGTGGTCGCGGCCCGATGGCTCCTACCTCAATAAACTGCTCATCACCCGCGCCCGCCAGGACGATGCGGGCATGTACATCTGCCTGGGCGCCAACACCATGGGCTACAGCTTCCGCAGCGCCTTCCTCACCGTGCTGCCAGGTGCGCGGCCGCCACGCCACGCCATGCCGGTGCCCGGACCTGCCCCCTGGGCCCCGCATCCCACCCACCGGGCGGGACCCCACCCTTCCCTCCTGGGCTGTACAGGCTGGGTCATCTGCCAAGGGAGGGCAGCCCAGGGGTGCCGTCTCCATAGCCCTCGGGATGGGTCTGGGGTACTCTCCCGGTCTTTGTGCCGGCGTTCCCCTCGCCACCTCCTTTCCTCTCACTCTTGCAGACCCAAAACCGCCAGGGCCACCTGTGGCCTCCTCGTCCTCGGCCACTAGCCTGCCATGGCCCGTGGTCATCGGCATCCCGGCCGGCGCCGTCTTCATCCTGGGCACCGTGCTCCTGTGGCTTTGCCAGGCCAAGAAGAAGCCATGCACCCCCACTCCTGCCCCTCCCGTGCCTGGGCACCGCCAGCCAGGGACAGCCCGTGACCGCAGTGGAGACAAGGACCTTCCCACGTTGGCCGCCCTCAGCGCTGGCCCCGGTGTGGGGCTGTGTGAGGAGCATGGGTCTCCAGCAGCCCCCCAGCACTTGCTGGGCCCAGGCCCAGTTGCTGGCCCCAAGTTGTACCCCAAAGTCTACACAGACATCCACACACACACACACACACACTCACACACACACTCACACGTGGAGGGCAAGGTCCACCAGCACATCCACTATCAGTGCTAGATGGCACTGCCTCTGCGGTGGGCGCATGGGGCCGGCCAGACAGGCAGGCTGGGAGGCTGGAGGACGGTGCTGCAGACGAAGGCGGACCCATGGCGAGGAGGAATGGCCAGCACCCCGGGCGCTCTGTGTGAGGCATAGCCCCTGGACACACACACACAGACACACACTGCCTGGATGCATGTATACACACACATGCGCACACACGCTGCCTGAACACAGGCACACGCAGACATGCTCCCGGAACGCATACGCATGCGTGCACATGCGCAGGCATGCTGCCTGGACACACAGATATGCTGCTCAAACGCATGCACATGCACACAGACATGCCAGAACATACATGGACATGCTGCCTGAACACATCACACACATGCACAGATACGCTGCCTCGACACACACATGCATACACGTGCAGATATACTGCCTGGACACACACACGCAGATATGCTGCCTGGACACACACACACACATGCACAGATATGCTGCCTGGACACATCACACACATGCACAGATATGCTGCCTCGACACACACATGCATACATGTGCAGATATACTGCCTGGACACACGCAGATATGCTGCCTGGACACATGCACACACATGCACAGATATGCTGCCTGGACACACGCACACACATGCACAGATATGCTGCCTGGACACACGCACACACATGCACAGGTATGCTGCCTGGACACACATACACGCACAGAAATGCTGCCTCGACACACACACATACATGCGCAGACAGGCCGCCTGGACACACACAGGCAGTTATGCTGTCCGGACACACGCACACATGCAGATACGCTGTCTGGACACACACGTGTGCAGTTATGCTGCCTGGACACACGCACACACATGCGCAGATATGCTGCCTGGACACGAGCAGATATGCTGTCCGGACACGCACACACATGTGCAGATACGCTGCCTGGACGCATGCGGACTGAGGTGCTTTTCAGAGGGTGTGCTGCGAGGCCCGCAGTGCGTGTGCAGTGAGGCTCATAGTTGATGAAGGACTCTCCCTGCTCCACCGTCACTCCCCCACCCCTGCCCGCCTCTGCCCTCGCCTGGCCTTCGAGGCTATTTTTGCCACCTGTCTTGGGTGTCCAGGAGTCCCCTACTGCTGTAGGCTGGGGCTGGGGGCACAGCAGCCCCAAGCCTGAGAGGCTGGAGCCCATGGCACTCCCACCGCATTCTCCCCCTGCCAGCGAGAAGGAGCCTTGGTATTTATATTTAAGAAATGAAGATAATATTAATAATGATGGAGGGAGGGCTGGGTTGCAGGGACTGTGGTCTCTTCTGGGGCCCGGGACCCGCCTGGTCTTTCAGCCACGCTGATGCCTGCACCCCGTCCAGGCCAGGCACCACCCCCCACCCCACTGTCGTGGTGGCCCCAGATCTCTGTAATTTTATGTAGAGTTTGAGCTGAAGCCCCGTATATTTAATTTATTTTGTTAAACATGAAAGTGCATCCTTTCTCTCCAGGCTTGTGTTTCTGCCCGTGTCTGTGTGTGCATGTGCATGCTCGTGGGTGCTCACATCTGTGCTTGTGTGTCAGGCCTGGTCTCTAGAACCAGCAGCCCAGCCCTCCTGGAGTCCCCTTGCTGGGCCGGAGCCACAGGGGCTGAGACCCAAGGGTCTCCAGGTCTGTCATCAGCACCTCCCGGCAGTAGAGTTTGGGTCTACTGGGCTTCGGGTGGTGGTGGGTGTGAGCACTACCCATGTAGAGTTTGGGTATGCTGGGCTTCGGGTGGTGGTGGGTGTGAGCACTCACCATGAGTACCCACGTGCCTGGCCAGGCCAGCGTCCTGCACCCCTGTCGGATTCGCACCCTCTCTGTGTCCTGGGGCTGGCCCCTGTGGCCCTCAGTGCAGGGCCTGGTCACTCCTCGGCCGCTCTGCAGGCTTTGGTGGGTGGCCCTACGGGAAGCAGCAGACCTGCCTCGGAACTGGGGGTGGGGCCAGGCTCAGGTCACCTCTGACCTCAGGGCTCCGTCCAAATGCCCTCCCTGCCACCCTGCAGTGCTGTGACGGTGGCCGCCCCCGTCTTGCCCAGTCAGCAGGAGGGGTTGGGGCTGCCAGCTCCACCCGGGGCCCTTGCCTGCCCGGGGGTTCCATTAGCCTCGTAAGAAAAGGCACCGAGGCCTCTCGTGCATTCAGCAAAGCGTGACGCCCGTGGCGTTCCCGGAGCCTGGCCTTGCTGGCATGCAGGGTACTTCCTGACCCGCGCTGGTTCTGAGAGCTTTTCCCTGGAGGAAGCTCACCCTGCCTGCTTCAAAGATGACAGGTGGGCTCTGGGGAGAGGTGTCAGGGACCTCTCCCAGCTGGGGCTTCTGAGGACCCCATGGCCTTCCAGATGTCCCCTTTCTGTCCTCTGTCCTCCCCAGGGTAGACCCTACTCCTCTCCCCTGAGGGAAGTCCTGACTCCGTGGGTGGTGACAGCTTCCTTCAGGCATGGCCCTGGTGAGGGCTGTGTGTGGCTGGTGGGTGCTGTGGGAGGCCTGGCCATCCTGACTGGGGGGCAGTGGGGGCTCCAGGCGGCCCACAGCTGGCAGCCAAACAGATGTTCCCCAGACAGGGCAGGCTGCAGGCCGACGCCTGGTCGGGTTTCAGTCTGGAGTAGGGGAGGGTGGAAGGGAGACCTCAGGCGTCTGGCCACCTTGGACAGCAGGAAGGCCTCAGGCAGCAGGTCATGGGGTCGCAGAGGACAGGCTGCCACTCCCCAGGAAGTGGGCAGAGGGATGGGCAGTCTGAGAGGGCTGTCCCCCAGAGCCTCTGAAGGAGACACTGGGACCGCAGACCCCACGCCTGCACCCTGCCTGCTCTGAGGTCCAGGCCCCACTCAGGGCCACCCTCGACTTGTGGTCCAGCCCATCTCACCCCTGCCCACGGGAGGTGCTGACTGGTGCTGTGTGGCCCTTGATGGGCAGGACAGGCCTGGCACAGCCCAGCCTCTGGGTCCTGGGCTCTGGACTTTGTCACGCCGTGGCCATGTTGGATGCCAGGCTGGGCAGGGGGACCCAAGGAGTTAGGACAGACCCATCTCCTGTCCATGGGGCCCCGGCCACCCCCAGGCAAATGGCCTGGAGCTCAGACCCCTCAGTCTTTCCCTAGCCTTCCTCAGGGGCTGCCTAGAGTCCCTGCTTTCTCCCCTGCGACCTCCAGACCCTTCCCCCTTGGCCGTCCAGTCCCGAGAGCCCTTACACTCATCCCCATGCCCCTCTGTTCCTGCGGTCTCCAGCCTGAGCCTACCGGGGCCCTGCCCTGCGGACGCCTGACCGGTGTTCCTGGCTGTCTCTTGCCTGGCCCTGCCCCATGGACTCCTGTGGCTGTGGCTCCTGCCCCCCCACCAGCCACACAGCCACCCCGATGCCGTTTCCCACATCTCCATCACGGAAGCACACGTCCATGCCCTGCACCGGCCCCCTCGCATCTGCACCTCCACACTTCCAAGAACAAAATTGCATTCCCCTGCCCTCCGCGTGCAGGAGGACTGGGAGCACAGAGCCCCTGTGTGCTTCAAGGACTTGAGGCAGAGGCTCCCAGGGCGTGAGTGTGGCCAGCAGAACAGAGGGCAGGACGTGGTTCTGACAGTGGTCCACCCTGTCCAAGCACTTGAAAGCTGGGGGGCCCTGCACTCCAGGTTCACTGGCTGGGAGGCTCAAAGGGCCGGGTGGGGCCTGTGGGAGGTGGGGGTGCCGCTCTGTGGGCCCCGTCTCACCTGTCCTGCACCAGGCACCTGCACACCATTGCACCATGGGGGCTCCAGGCCCAGGAAGAGACAGACAGGTGTCGGGAGGCTCCTCGGGGGCCAGCAGGCTTCCAGGCAGTGCCCTTGCAGGGGTGGGGCAGGGGCATGGCATCTGAGGGGCAGGGCGACCCAGGGGGTCCAGGGAGAAGGGAGGAGCCCAGAGTGGCAGCTGTCTCCCCAGGGAGGGGCCACACCTGGGGCTTCCTGGCTCCTCCACCATCACCCTTCACATGGGCAAGACCAGGTCCCGTGCCCTTGGCCACCACAGGAAGGTCATGGGGCAGCCTCTGCTGCAGGGACGGGAACGGGGCTGGGTGCCTGTCTCCAGCTCCATCCTGGGCTCCTGGGGGTGCAGGTTGTGGGGGTGGGGGTTGCAGCCCAGGAGGCAGCAGAGGGGACCCAGCTGTGTCCTCAGGGCGGCCCCCAGGCCAGGCCCTTTGGGTAGGAGATGGTGGTGCCTGGGGGAGGCTCAGCATGGCGGGGCGGGGTGTGGGCACGGGTCCAGGCCCACAGTCCTCCCTGGCCCTGCCCCGGCGGTGATAAGCTGCTTCCCTGTAAAGCCCGGCTAACTTGAAAGGGCTGCCCAGGCTCCGACACCCCCGGGTGTGACCCATCCCCGCCTGGCCCTCCTGGCTTCAAAGGGGTGCCCGCAAGCCGCCTGCAGCTGTCCCGGGGGTGCCTGCGCCTGCTGCCAGGGACAGGGTGGCAGCGTGAGGCAGAGATGGGGGGATGTGGGCAGCCCCACCCCATGGGCGTGTGGGTCAGAGGACCTGGCCAGAGATCACAGCCTTGTCCCCGGCCGGGGTTGGGGACCAGGGGACCGGGCTGGGAATGTGGGACGAGAGGCGCAGATAGAGGCACAGGCCAGGAAGAGGGGTGCAGGCTGCGTGCTTGGGGTGCAGGATGAGACTCTCTGCACAGCAGAGATATGGCCCTAGGACACAAGGCTCCAGGATGCAGGGGCCAGCCGAGCTACCCCAAGCCTCCCCGGAGTACCGCGTGGGCCCAGGACCTGCTGCGGGGCTGGGGTGAGCCAGGGGCCCCCCAGGATTTGAATATGGAAGCACCTCCTGGAGGCAGAGGCAGGGAGGCCGCAGAGCCAGGTGTGTGGGGCTCTGGGCCCCTCGGGCTGGGCTGTGACATGGGGAGTAACCCCTACCTCCATGGCTGGAGCCGGCTTCTGGTAGAAGCTTCCAGATGTCCTGGGGGGACAAGAGTGCTCAGTGAAGCCACGCTGGGTGAGGCGGGGCAGGAGGGCAGCGAGCGGGGCCTGGTGGTCTCGGGCTCTCTGTGCCCTGTGCTGGCCTCACAGTGTGCCTGGCCCAGGTGGCTGCCCGGGTTGGGTAAGATGGGGAAGGGGCTGTCCTGGGGGCTGGTGGGGCCTGGCGGGTCCTGGGGCTCAGCCACACCAGACCCAGGCCTGCGTTCCAGGGCCCTGGGTTGCCCATTAATTTGAGGCTTGCATTGCTGTGCCCGAGGAGAGAAGCCTGTACCTGAGAAGCACTCTCCCTCCCTGGGGGACTGCACTGGCCACCGTTGGCCTCCTCTGCTGGGCCTGTCTCTCCCTTGCCTCCGGCCTTGGGAGGAGCGTGACCAGCGAGGGTGCGCAGGTGGGCCTCCCTGGAAGGCCCCTGCCACTGTGCGGGCAGCTGCGTGCTGGGCCTGAGTGGGTGTGGCCAAGACTGGGGCTCCCTGTGGACTCCTCAAGCAGAGGCGGTCTCGGCCCCACGGGAGGGTTTCCCATTCCCAGCTGAGCCCTGGGGCAGGAACCCAGGCGGGTCTAGGGTCTGGGCCCCCCTCTGACCTCGTGACCCAGGCTGGCCTTGACACACTCGTGACCCAGGCTGGCCTTGACACACTCGGGGGTGGGGGTGCCACTCTGGTTCCTGATCGCGCTCGCCCTACACTGGTCACCTGGAAAGTCTGCTGCTCCCCTGGGGAGCACATGAGGGGGTCCCCAATCTCCCAATGCCAACTGGCAAGCCCGTCTGCCCACAGAGCCCCCCTCGCGCCACACGGGCTGGCCAGGCAGCCTCCTTGTGACCTGTGCCCAGGCTGCAATCGGGCTGTTCCTCCTGGTGAGCCCCTTCCCCAGCCGCCTGGTCGCTGCCTGACCGTATGCGGCTCCTCTGCTGTCCCAACCCCATGGGCAGCTCTGTCCTCAAGCCCGGCTCCGCTCGCTAGAGCCCAACCAGGGCAGAGAAGTCCGAATTCAAGTCCCCCAGGGCGCCCCAGCTCTCTTCAACCCTTGCCTAGGCTCCAAGCCCCCCAGACCTGGGTTCCTGGGCTCGCGGGCCTGTGCAGGGGCAGGGGCCGCCCACTCAGGCAGTTTGATTCAGTGACTGGGGAGAAGGGGGGTCGGTGGCCGCAGAGTGGGGCTGGGGTCCCCTGGAGCAGCTGCCATGTTCTGAGGCTTCCTTGTCCCCATGGCAGAGTGCTGGGGGGCCGGGCTTGGCACACAGCACCCAACACGGTGGGGAGAATGCTCATCCTGGGGTCAAAGGTGACCTCTCCAGCCGCCTCACCCTGAATCTCAGCCTGGGTCACAGCAGGGCCTTTGCCTAGGGGCCGAATCCAGGGGTCCTGCTGGGAGCATGAATCCTGGGCACAGTGGGACTGGGGCACTCGGGGTGGCTCCTGCAGCCTGAGAGATGGGGACCAGTGGGCGCCTAACGACATTCAGCCCTGCAGGACCCTGTGACGGACGCCAGGTCCCGCCTGTCTCCCCGTGCGCT